AAGAAGAGACTGGACTGCCATCTGTCAGAAATGGTGTAGGGTCTCCTGCGTGGGCGGAAGGTTGGAATAGATGACCTACAAGGTCCCTTCCAATTCTGTTAATCTAATTGTGGCCAAAAAACAAGTTGTAAAATTGCAATAGCATCTAGATTTATATACCATTTCACAGTGCTTTTTACAGCCTTCTTTAAGCGGTTTACATAGTCAGCCTCTTGCCCCCCAACACTCTGGGTCCTCATTTGACCCACCTTGGAAGGATTGGAGGCCGAGTCAACCTTGAGCCGGGAAGGATTCGAACTGCCAAATTGCAGGCAGTCGGCAGAAGTAGCCTGCAATACTACATTCTAACCCCTGCGCCACCATGGCTCACTTACCAACCATCTCGCTCAGCCATGAAAATTGGGGGCTCAGTTGTGATCGTAAGCCGAGGACTATTTGTACACCAGCAAAATTTTAAAAAAAGGATCGTGAAATGCCTTGCATAGCAGTTGTGGTTGATTCTTTGCTGAATTCAAACATTTGCTGTTAAAAGTTCAGCTCTTGGAGCCGACCAAGGCCGAAAGATTATCGTTGCTCTTCCAACGGGCAGACAAAAGCTGCTCTCTTCTCTCCACATCTGTGAAAAAGCCAGCCTTGGCCGACTGCTCTTTCCGTCACATCTCTGGGACACCTCTTCCCAGCTGCCTCTATCTCGCCTTGGCATGAGAATAAGCGTCCCCGTTGCAGATCAGACAAGAGTCCTTTAATTTCCCAAGGTGTCCTTGAGTGAGCAGCTGAGGGTTTAAGGACACCGGAACCTTTCCAAAAAACTTCTTTTTCCCCTGACCTTGGAGAAATGGGAGAGGAAGGGAACAGGGTAAATAATATTTTTTTTTTGCCAAGTACATTGAAGCTACGAAGGAGATATAATAATGGTGCATTTAAAAAACAACAGAATGGGAATCCTTGGGCTGTCCTTGGTCTTCTGCTGTTTTTTTGTGAGATCGTATGACTTGGACTGAAAATTCAGCAAAATCTGTAAGTGTTACAATAAATTGGATGGCAACACTAAAGCCTCAAGATGGCCTCGGTCAGGAACCCTGATATTGGATCCAACTTTCTTGGTTCTAATACCACTTTTATAAGGTCTTGGTAAAGCCACACTTGGAATACCGCATCCAGTCTTGGTCGCCACCATGTAAAAAAGATGTTGAGACTCTAGAAAGAGTGCAGAGAAGAACAACCAAGAGGATTACGGGGACTGGAGGCTCAAAGATATGAAGAACGGTTGCAGGAACTGGGCCTGGCTAATCTAGTGAAGAGAAGGACCAGGGGGGGCATGATAGCAGTCTTCCAATATCTACCCACAAAGAAGAGGGAGTCAAGCTATTCTCCAAAGCACCCGAATGCAGGAGAAGAAACCATGAAAGGAAACATATCAAAGAGAGAAACAACTTAGAAGTTCCTGACAGTGGGAACAATTAACCAGTGGAATGACTTGTCTCCAGAAGTTGTGAAGTTTTGAAGATAGCAATAGCAGTTAGACTTATATGCTGCTTCATAGGGCTTTCAGCCCTCTCTAAGTGGTTTACAGAGTCAGCATATTGCCCCCAACAACAATCCGGGTCCTCATTTTACCCACCTCGGAAGGATGGAAGGCTGAGTCAACCCTGAGCCGGTGAGATTTGAACAGCCGAACTGCAGAACTGCAGTCAGCTGAAGTAGCCTGCATTTAACCACTGCGCCACCTCGGCTCTATATAAGATGATGTTGGATAACCATTGGTCTGAAATGGTGTAGGATTTCCTACCTAAGCAGGGGGTTGGACTAGAAGACCTCCAAGGTCTCATCCAACTCTGTTATTCTATTTGTCTATTTCTAATAGGTTTAGCTTTGTGATCCCAGTTTGGTTTGTTGTTGTTGTTAAGTCGCTAACTTGTGTCTGACTCTTTGCGACCCCATGGACCATAGCACACCAGCCCCACTCCCCTTCTGGGGCTGCCACAAAGAAGAAAGGGGTGGTGGTGCTGATGGATGGAAACTAAAAGATAGGAGCAACCTAAAAACTAAGGAAAAGTTTTCTGATAGTTACAATAATTAGTTCAGTTCAGTTCAGTTTAATAAATTTATATGCCGCCCAATCCCGAAGGACTCCGGGCGGCTTACATAAAAACAATTTTAAAAAACACTAAAAAAAAGTTTAAAAAGTAGAAGACAAGCAAGTTAAAAAGACACAACATTCACTCAACCTTAGTGGGGGCTGGATCTTCCGGAAAAGCCAGGTCTTAATAGACTTTCGGAAGGCCGCAAGAGTGGGGAGGGTCCGGATCTCTGGGGGTAGATCGTTCCATAGGGCCAGGGCAGCTACAGAGAGGGCCCTCCCCCGAGGAGCCGCCAAATGACATTGTCTAGTTGACGGCACCCAGAGAAGGCCCATCCTGTGAGATCTTATCCGATGCTGGAAGGTGTGTGGCAGGAGACGGTCCTGAAGATATCCAGGTCCTAAGCCATGTAGGGCTTTAAAGGTGATAACCAGCACCTTGAAGCGCGTTCGGAGACCGATCGGGAGCCAGTGCAGCTTGCAGAGGATGGGTGTAATATGGGTGTATCTTGGTACATTAATCAGTGGAATGGCTTGCCTCCAGTAGTTGCTCCATCACTGGAAGTATTCAAGAAAAGACAGCAATAGCACTTAGACTTATATACTGCTTTACAGTGCTTTACAGCCCTCTCTAAGCGGTGTACAGAGTAAGCATCTTGCCCACAACACTCTGGGTCCTCATTTTACTGATGTTGGAAGGATGGAAAGCTGAGTCGACTTGAGTCTGTCAGGATCGAACTGCTGGCAGTGAGCTAGCCTGCAATACTGCATTCTAACCACTGCGCCACCATGGCTCTTTGATGTGTAATGTATAAGAGTGGAATGGAATGGAGCCGTACAAAACAGAATAGGAATAGAACAGAACAGAATAGAATAGAATAGAATATGTCTACATGTAGACATAAATGTTGAACATTCTATCACATGTGGTGGACATGTCCCCACGCAAGGGAAATATTGGCTTAAAATTAAGGATTGGCTGGAAGGAATCACGGAATAGAAGATAGAATTGAAACCAGAATTATGTTTATTAGATATAATAGACCCAAAGATTGACAAGAAATATCAATATATAATATTACACATACTAACCGCTGCTAGGATCACCTTTAGACAAAATTGGAAACAAAAAATTACACCACCACCCCAGATGAAATGATAATTAGGAATGTACTTGAATGTGCTGAAATGGATAGGATGACTATGGAGTTAAAAGAAAAAGAAGAGTCGGACTATTATATAAAATTTGGAGTAGACTGTACAAGTGGCTAGAGAATAGAATCCAAAACAAGAAATAAAAGTTTTAAAAACTTGATTATAATAGGGAGAAAAATGTATATATTTAAAATCTGATTATATGTATTATACTATTCTACTACAATATAATTATTACATTAGTATTAGAATTGTTAAAAACTACAAAAAGGCAATAATCGAATAGTAAACCACAAAAGCAGAATATACATGCTGATATGGGAAGCTGTAAAATTATATTATTGTGTTGTTTGTGTTTTTATCTGTTTTGTATTTTTTTTTGTTTTTTTTTTGTTTTTTTCCTTTTCTCTTTTCTTTACTTGTCATTTTAAACTTGAAAATGTTCAATAAAAATATTTTTATAGAATAGAATAGAATATAGAATGGAATGGATCTGAGCAGAACAGGAATAGGGAATAGAATAGAATAGAATAGAATTAGAACAGAATGGAATCAAAACGGAATGGAATGGAATTTATCTCTGATTCATTATATCATTTCCCCAGGGTTGTCTAAATGGATTCGTCAGCAGATCCATCACTACGAAGACTTTGATTGTGCCCTTAACTCTTTGGATGCCTTTGCTAAAATGAACCAGAATGGCACTGAAGCTGCCCTTCAGGATCCCAACAGCTCTCTGCTCCTGTCCACAAGTTCAAAGATTCTGACACTACTTTCTGCTCCGGAGGGAGCTCTTCCTTTAACACCTGGCGCTCTTCATGAAAGGAAAGCACAACTTTCAGTTTTGGAAACAGGCTCTGCCGAACGCATCGCAACTCGCCCAACAACCTCCGGTTAGTCATGAGATCCCTCGCCAGAGCAAAGTTAATCTTGCTAAGATTTTAAAAAAACAAATGCTTTTGTTGTTCTGCTTATTTTGGGACAGCCTTCTGAGTATCACCAGCGTCCAAGGAATACAGTACCAGAAGCTGTTTCATCCCAAGCCATCAATCAGGAGCTACCGTATTATTCAGAGTATAAGACGGATCTTTTTCCCCCCCACTAAAAGTGGGTGAAAATTTAGATCCGTCTTTATAGACCGAATAAGGGACATGGTAGTTCAATCAGAAAGTTCGGCAGTTTGCTCCTAAGCAATTTTATAAAAGAGACGCAGTGGCTAAGACGCTGAGCTTTTTGATCAGAAAGGTCAGCAGTTTGGAGGTTTGAATTCCTAGCACCACGTAACAGAGTGAGCTCCCGTTATTTGTCCCAGCTTCTGCCAACCTAGCAGTTCAAAAGCACGTGAAAAATGCAAGTAGAAAAATAGGAACCATCTTTGGTGGGAAGGTAACAGTGTTCCGTGCACCTTCAGCATTTAGTTATGCCGGCCACATGACCACGGAGACGTCTTTGGACAGCGCTGGCTCTTCAGCTTTGAAACGGAGATGAGCACCGCCCCCTAGAGTCAGGAACAACTAGCACATATGTGCAAGGGGAACCTTTACCTTTATGTGCAGAAGGGTGAGCGCATGTGTGGATGGGGTATGTGCGAGCAAAGCAAGCAGTCACATTTATGAACCGGTAGGGAAGGGAAGTGAATACCACCCTCCGGTGCCATTGTAACTTTGGACAATCACCAAATGAACAGTTGTAAGTTAAGGACTACCTCTACCTGTACTTTCTCCCCACCAAATACTCCTGGAGTCTTTT